TATATATATTGGTCTTTTTGAGTCAGGGTCTCCCTGTAGTCCCAGCTGTCCTGGAACTCACTATGTAGACCAGGCTGGCCTTGAACTCACAGAGATCCACATACCTCCCAAGTGCTGGGATTAAAGGCATGCACCACCACGCCCGGCTATATTTTCAATAGTTGGAGTGTGTTCTATACATTTCTCCTCCTTCCCATTCCTCTTCCTCCTGTTCCTCCTCCTCTTCTTCCTCCCCTTCTTCCTTCTCCTCCTCCTCCCTCTCCTCCTCCTCCTCCTTCATTATTATTGTTATCCTTGTGAAGGACCTGTTCCTTCTCACACTTTAGTGATGAAAACCCAAAGGCTCAGGAGGGAAGCAGGCACTAAACTGAGATGTAGCTATGGTTGAGGTTTTGAGGCAGGTCTCGCCATGCAGCAGGCTGGCTCACGATCTTCCTGGTTCAAACTCCCCAATACTGGAATTATTTGTGCACCACCACTCTCAACTTGCCCCAAAGTCGGAATGGCAATTGTTACTGTGGTCTCCCCGTGACCTGCTCTGTCCTTGTGTCCGTATGTTCTTCACTGTGTGGCATGAGGATCAGTGGCCTGAATGTCCCTGGTGGCTCCCAAGAGCAGCCCTTTAACATTGCCAGAGCTAAACAGGCACCGGGTACAGTGATTACTATAAAAGGTCAGAGAGACATTTAGTTCATCAGTCCTGCTGAGTTCAGAGCCATGGTGATCTGGTGACAGACACACAAATGTACACAGTACCCGGGTTCATTTGGAGGCTGAGTCACCACAAGAATCAGGGACCAAGTTACCAAGAACTATAATCTAATGAATTTCACAACACTTCATTCATCAGAAATTCATCCAAGTAAAATGGTTCATTGTTCACCTGTAATTTGCATTTAATTGGATGTCCTTTATTTTTATTGGCCAAATTTGGCAAGCCGAGTAAAAGGTGTTTGTTTATTTTGCTTTATTATTTTATTGCTTTGCTCTGTTTTACTATTTTTCTTTTACCCTTTATCCTCCCAGCCTGTTTCTGTTTTGCTGTCTCACCATAAGAACAGAGTCAATTGATTCTATTTAATATAAATGCATCTAATTTGCCTTCCCCCACTTATTTTGCTGTAGGTGGCAATTTAGAAACTGTATCCTATTGATTTGTGTGTGTTTTTTTGAAAATGAATTTTTTTTGGTCTTTTTGAAACAGGGTCTCCCTGTAAGCCCTAGCTGTCCTGGAACTCACTATGTAGACCAGGCTGGCCTTGAACTCAGAGATCCGCCTGCCTCTGCCTCCCAAGTGCTGGGACTACAGGTGTATGCCATCACACCCAGCAGTGTGTGTCATTTTTAATCCACAATAAAGGATTTAAACTGCATAAGTCCCATTCTATTTCCGTGTGTTTCCTTGACACTTCATGAGACTTATCCACTTTAAGAATGGATTCTTAGGCCGGGCCTGGTGGCACATGCCTTTAATCCCAGCACTCGGGAGGCAGAGGCAGGCAGATCTCTGTGAGTTCAAGGCCAGCCTGGTCTACATAGTGAGTTCCAGGCAGGCTGGGGCTACAGGGAGACCCTGTCTCAAAAAGACCAAAAAAAAAAAAAAAAGAATGAATTCTTAATTATGTGGTTTGTGTGTGTGTGGTGTGTGCACATTCACGCAGAGGGTATGTGTATACATATGCATGCAGAGGCCAGAGGGCATCCTCAGGTACTGTTCTTCATGTGCTGTTTATCTTCTTTTTTTTTTTTTTTTCCTTTTTGAGACAGGGTCTCAAGCCCAGTGGGCCTGGAACTCACTATGTAGTCCAGGCTGGCCTTGAACTCACAGAGATCCCCCTGCCTCTGCCTCCGAAGTGCTGGGATTAAAGGTGTATGCCACCATGCCTGGCTTGTTGGCTTTCTTTTTTAAGATATGGTTTCTCACTGGCTTCAACTCGCTAGACTGGAGAGTCAGTCAGCTAGGATTACAAGCACACCACCACACCCAGCTTTTTTATGTGGATTCTTGGGATCAAACTCAGCTCCTCAAGCTTGCACAGCAAGCCTTTTACCACCTGTGCTGTCTCCCCAGCACCAACCCTGGGTTTCACACAACAACAGTTCACTGAATCCACAGACCAGGTTGTATGTAACATCCCCTTGATCAGCAGACCCTGAGCTAGCTCCCGTCTTCTGGTTCTGTCAGGCATCCTGGGCCTCATGTGTCCACACTGCATGGATGCCAAGACAGCCTCATTTCTTTTTAATTTTTTTTTTCAGTCTTTTTGAGACAGGGTCCCCCTGTAGCCCCAGCTGACCTGGAACTTACTGTGTAAACCATGCTGGCCTTGATCTCGCCTGCCTCTGCCTCCTCATTGCTGGGATTAAAGGCATATGTCACCATGCCCTGGCTTCATTTTTTTAAGCTACTTTTATTTTATGTGTGTAAGTGCTTTGTCTACATGTAAGTGCACCCATGTCATGCAATGCCTGGGGAGGTCAGAAGAGGATGTCAGATCACCTGGAACTAGAGTTATGATAGTTGTTAGATGCCATGTGGGTGCTAGGAATTGAACCCAGGTCCTCTGCAAGAGCAGCCGGTGCCCTTACCCACTGAGTGGTCTCTCTAGCCCCTCCTTATATTTACCTGTATTTTTCTGGTTACAAGTGAAGCCAGCTATTTCTCCACATACTTTACTATTCAGGCTTCACCATCTGTGAATTCCCATTCACACTTTGGTTTGTTTTGCTATTGGGCCCTTCATTCTTTTTTCCTGCAGATACATAGGAATGTCTTGTACAGTCTAGAACAGTGCTGACAGAGATATAACACCAAACATATGTGTAACTCAATTTTTAAATAGTTAGTTATATATATTTTTTGGTCTTTTTGAGACAGGGTCTCCCTGTCTTAAATAGTCATATTTAAAAAGTAAAAAGAAACAGGTGTAATGAAGTTGAGAAGTATGTTTTATTTGAGCAAATACTCTAAAATATATCAACATGTCATATAAAATATGGAGCTGCAGCTTGCTCTTTTGAGTATGCTAAGCCTTATGTGTGTCTTATACTTATGGCATATCTTTTTAAAAAATATTTTATTATTTTTATTTTATGTGTATAAGCCTATTGTCTGCATGTATATAAGTGTATCCATGTCATTCAATGGCCACAGAGGTCAGAAGAAGGTGTTGGATTCCCCTGGAACTGGATTTAGGACAGTTATTAGCCATCATGTGGGTGCTGGGAACTGAAACCAGGTCCTTTGCAAGAGCAGTCAATGCTCTTAACAGCTGGCCCTATTGTACATCTCAATATGGTCTAGGTCACAGGTAAAGCACCCAAGAACCACATGTGGCTAGTGACAACTGGATTGGACAGTTCAGAACTAGAAAGCTAATAAGCATAAGACTTCTACTACCATGCTTGGCCAGATCCAGGTCTCTTGGCCATGCCTAGCTGTGAGAAAACTTGTGAGACAGAAGGCTGTGTGTTATTTTTCAAGCTAGAAATGTTGCCACCAAAATAAAACATGAGTTCTGTTAAAAATTCAGTGAAGAAGGCTGGGCATGGTGGTGCACGCCTTTAATAATCCCAACCCTCAGGAGGCAGAGGTAGGTAGATCTCCATGAGA